AGGGGGGCGAGAACAGAGGTGGGAGGATGCGGAGTGGCCCTGTGGGCTGAGCCCAGGACCCAGGGCCTGGGAGGACAGCAGGACCTGCGAGGACAGCAGGCCCTAGGGGCACCTGCCATTAGCAGGACCCTGTGCTTCCATGGCTGTTGGCCAGAGTGGGTCCTGGGTGCCCAGAGAAGGGGCCACGCAGCCTCCTGAGGAGCTGGGGAGGAAGGACCAGGCAGGGTGTGGGGAGGACGCACTGGGAAGGGCTGGAAGGTCAGAGTGTCCAGGGATGTGGTCAGTGTGGGGAGAAGGGCAGGGGTGGTGGCAGCACGCTTCCCTGAGCAACCAATGGACACAGAGGGGCAGGGCTGTGGGGGGAGGGGGGTTCTGAGAGGCACCTGGCCCCACAAGGGATGCCGGGAAGGGAGCTGGCTGCACCCTGGGGACAGAGGAGAGAGTCCAGCCCTTGGATGTCACACTGTGTCACTGGGGAACAGTGAGTCACCTGGGCAGGTGGAGAAGAAGCACAATTGTCATTAGTGACCTTCACTGCTGTCCCCGACCAGTGCCTGCAGCTGAACTAAGGTCGCCATGTGAATTTGCAGGGACCCAAAATAAAACACAGACACAACTGACCTTCACACAGGCTTCAGGACAGTGGGGGGTGGGGGGAGAGAGAGAGAGGGAGAGGGAGGAAGGGAGGGAGAGGGGGAGAGGGAGGGAGAGGGAGGGAGGGAGACAGAGGGACGGAGAGGGAGAGAGAGGGAGGGAGAGAGAGGGATGGAGAGAGAGGAATAGAGGGAGGGAGGGAGAGGGAGAGAGACAGAGAGAGGGAGGGAGGGAGGTAGGGACAGAGGGAGAGAGGGAGGGAGAGGGGGTGAGGGAGGGAGAGGGAGAGAGAGGGATGGAGAGACAGAGGGACGGAGAGGGAGAGAGAGGGAGGGAGAGAGAGGGATGGAGAGAGAGGAATAGAGGGAGGGAGGGAGAGGGAGAGAGACAGAGAGAGGGAGGGAGGGAGGTAGGGACAGAGGGAGAGAGGGAGGGAGAGGGGGTGAGGGAGGGAGAGGGAGAGAGAGGGATGGAGAGACAGAGGGACGGAGAGGGAGAGAGAGGGAGGGAGAGAGAGGGATGGAGAGAGAGGAATAGAGGGAGGGAGGGAGAGGGAGAGAGACAGAGAGAGGGAGGGAGGGAGGTAGGGACAGAGGGAGGGAGGGAGAGAGAGAGAACTTCAGAAGTCAGCTTTTATGTCTGGGGTCACTGTTCTTAGAAAGTTCTGTCCATAAAGGCACAAGGGGCAGGACTACAAGGGAACAGGTGAGTGGATCTCAGCCCCAGGGTTAAGGCCACAAAGACCCCGTTGCTCTCCTAACGGGACCCTGCCCAGGCCACAGTGAATGCCCTGGTTGGTCAGAGCCTGGTGCATCAGGACTGGAAGGCGTGGCCACTCAGAGAGGCTCCCACACTCCAGGGTCGCACCTTTGTTTGTTGGTCTGACCATTTATGTGGACGCCTTCGACACGGTCAAGAGACATTTCCAGGTCAATGTGGTCCACCTGAGAGATAAAATGTCCCGTATTTATGCACAACGTGGCTCTTGTGAATATTCACCATTGTTCTCTGTTGTTACCATCACTAATGTCACTCTCTTATGGACAGATAGAGGTGGCATCTGCTCACTGTGTGCAGCACTGAGCTGTGACACTCCCTACAGCGTGGAGGGCTGAGCACAGGGACTCCCAGGTGAGCACCCTCAACCCACCAGCCCCTCTGCGCTCCCACCTGGCACACCCTGTGCTGTGGGAAGATGCTCTGTGCCCGGCAGTGTCTGCCTGTTGCTCTGTCATGGGAGATTGGAAGGTGGTCTCTTGGCTGTGCTGAAATATGCCGCACGTCACACTGACCTTGTCCCCTGGGCGCCCTTGACCCCGGGACTCATTCCTCCCAGGTGCAGCTCTGGACCCTCCTCTCACCTGGCTCATCCCAGCCCTATGCTCTTGCACATGAGTGTGACTCTGTCAGAGCACATACGATGACACTGGGATATTTGTCCTTCTATTTCTGGCTTATTTCCCTTAACCCCATGTCATCCAAGCTCCGGTGTGTCTTGAAAATGGCAGGATTTCCTTCTTTTCCAAGGTTGTATAAGAGCATGTGGTGTGTGTGCATGTGTACATGTGTGTAGTGTGTGTGTGTGTGCATGTGTGTGTGCATGTGTGTGTGTGCATCTATTTTTCACAGACATCACCCACTGGTGGACACGAAGGCTGGTCCCCTACCTTGGCCACCCCATCCTCTGAGCTTGACCTTGCTCATCTCCTTGCACAGCTCTTCTGGCCCCTCCACACTCGTGGGCTCCTGGTGTGCAACACCTGTGTGGGGGGGAGGACGAGGACCTGCTCTGGGGAAAAGGACATTAAGGGGGAGAGGGAACGTTACCCTCTCTGAGGAAACCCTGGGACAAGGGAGTGACCTGTGTCCAGAGCATATCAAGGGAGGACCCCCTGGGCTGGGCTGTAGCCCAGTGGTGGAGTCCTTGCCCAGCACGTGTGGGGCAGTGGGTTCAATCCTCAAGGAAGGACCCTCACAACCAGGCCATCTGCAAATGACAAAGGAGTAAAGATGGTGCTCACTTGATTGGTCATCTCTTCATAAGGAAAAAACGCATGGCTGGAGACACTTCTCCCAGGTATACAAATGGTGGCTAAGCACGAAAACACACACCAGAGAAGTGCAACCCCAAACCTCCATGCCACCCTTCACACTGCTCCTGTTAAACACGTGCCCCTCACACCCACCATGAGGGTCCTATTTTAAAATGGGCAATGCCAGTGAGGAGGAGGACGTGGGGCTGGAGGCTTGTGCTCTGTGCTGAGAAGGAGAAAGGGGCAGCCGCTGTGGAGGGCAGCGCCGTGTTCCTCAAAAGACCAGGAACAGCTGATCCGGTGACCAGAGGTTCCACTGTGACCACCCCCAGGGAGCCCACACAGACCTGGGAGGCAGTGTCCACCCCAGGGTCACGGTGGCAGCATTCACTGTAGCTAAGGGGAAGCGGCCACCTGTCCCTCAGCAGCTGCTGGACCCACCCAGCCTGCCCTAACCTGCAGGGGAGGAGGAGCCAGCAGGAGCCTCAGCAGGTGCCCCCTGAGCACAGGAGGCCAGGCACAGGGACAGCACCATCTCCACTGAGGGGCCTGGAGCAGGAGAGTTCACAGGGGAGTGGGTCTCCATGGCGGGGCCCCAGGAAGAGGCCTCCACTGGGCACAGAGAACCCAGGGCCAGTCAGTGAGGAGACGCTGCACAGCAGCCTTGGCCTGTGGGGCTGGAGACTGCAGCCAGGGGTGGTGCGCGGCCTGCTCCAGGGGAGTACAGCGACCAGAGGGGGAGGACCGTGGACTGCAGAGGACCACGTCCTGCTGTGCGTCCCCAGGAACAGGGCCTGAATCCCACCTTGTCCTGATCCAACAGAGCCCCAGTGAGAGGACAGTGAATCAGTAGAAGAGCCCAGGGGGTGGGGGAGGGGACAGGTGGAGGACAGAGGGAGGGACACAGCCCTGGGACTGAGTGGAGCCAGTCACCTTCCCTGCCCAGATGACGGTGTCCCAGTGACCCTGCTCTCGGGCACAACTGTAACGCACCAAGGAAACCTTCACAAAGGAACAAGGATGGTTAACATGACATAGGTTTAGGGACACCCCGTTGTCCCCAAATGCTGGAGAGGACCTGCAACCACCAGAGCTCCCCGAGGCTGCCATCAGGACAATGAATGGTACCGCCCCGTGGGGAGGAGTTGGGAGATGTCACCTAAATGGGAACCTACACTCTTGCCAGGGATCACGCCAACCTCTCCCAAATCTTTACCAAGTGACATGGGGACTCTCCTCCACACAATAAGTGGCTTGTCCTTGTGTTTGTATATTTAGAGCAGCTTTCTGTCACTGTCACCAGGCCTGACAACAACCCCACTGTCACCTGGTGAGTGTGTGAGAGGTGTCCACAGAAGCCACGTGGGTGGGTCCCTCATGAAAGGAGCTCCTGGGGACACAGCCAACCCGCGATGACCCTGGAATATGTGGAGCCAGGAGAGTGGAGCAGACCTGAGCCCCTGCTGGGGGAGGGGAACCCGCGAGCTGAGCACTGCATCTTGTCCTCCTGAGCCACTGGGGCTGTCTGGAAACCTGACGTCCCTCAAGGGCCACTTCACAGTGAGAGGCAGACTAAAGTGGAAGTGCCAATGTGTGTGACAGGGACGTCCCAAATGGCCCCAGGGCTCGCCCAGCAGGCAGCACTCTTGGGAGAGAAGCCCCTCAGCTCTGGTTGAGGACACTGCCCCCTCTCTGAGCCTCCCTGTTCTAGAGGGTCAGTGACCTGGTGTCTGCCCTGGACACTGGAACAGCTCTGTGCCCTGTTGAACCCCACCCTCATGCTACCAAGGCAGGTGGCCGACTCCCCAGCACCTGGGGCTCTGGGGCAGGCAGCTGAGGCCTGAGCTCCTGCGTGGGGCGCCCCAGGTGGGGACCAGGTGGGGACCAGGTGGCAGCCTCTGGTGGCCTCAGAAGCAGTGCAGGGAGTGCCTGGTGGTTTGCGCAGAGTGTCTGGCTGGCTGTGTCCCTCTGCCTTTCTTGTGCTCAGACGCGGCCCTACAGAGTCCCTCCTGCAGGACTGACCACTCCCCAGAATGAGACGAGTTGGGCCCCAGGTCCAGGCAGGAGTTGGGCAGCTCCTGGTGTGACCAGTACACACAGAAAAGCCCCTCAGGGTGGGAGGACTCAGAACCCCGCCAGTGTCACAGACTCCCAGTGTCCCCAGGGTCCTGGTCCCATCCTGAGTGTTCCAGGGAAGCACCCAAGACGGGGCAGGGCCTGGTCTCCTCTCTCCTCTGCCCCTCTCTGGCAGGCCTCTGGGTCTCTGGCTGTGGGGTGTCCCTCCTCAGCACAGAGCAGATGGACTGCAGTGGTGAGCGGGTCTGAGCTTCCTCTTCTGAGAACCGCCCAGGCCTCGGCCCCTCCCCAGCTTCCGTGGGTCCTGCAGCTTCCCCTCCGCAGGCTCTGGCTGCTCTGCTCAGTCCCAGGAGCCCAGGACCCTCTGCCTCCCGATGCTGCGGCTGCTGCTGCTGCTGTCCCTGCTGTGGGCAGTGGAGGGGGCCTGTGCAGAGGGGCTGAGGAGGGTGCCCTGTGATGACCCTCGGCTTCCCCAGGGGCCCTCCCCTCAGGATCCAGAACACTGCGTGGATGTGCCCGAGTCCGTGACGGTGCAGGAGGGTCTGTGTGTCCTGGTGCCTTGCAACTTCTCCTACCGCGGCTCAGAGACTGGCAACGTCTCTATCTACTGGTTCCATGCAGGGGACAATACAGACCACGGCTGTCCTGTGGCCACAAACAACTCTACTCGGAGAGTGCAGGAGGAGACCCAGGGCAGATTCCACCTCCTCTGGGACCCAGGAACCAACAACTGCTCCCTGAGCATCAGAGATGCCAAGCGCAGTGACAGTGGCTGCTACTTATTTCGGGTTGAGAAAGGAACATTTAAGTGGAATTATTATACAAAAAAGGTCTTTGTGCATGTGACAGGTAAGACTCCAGCTCCAGGGCAACCCCAGGAAGGTCACAGGACAGGGCTGGGTGGGACCCTGCCCTGGGGAAGTTGGGGGTCAAGCATTAGGGGCTCAGGGAGCAGCTGGTCATAGCCTGAGCTTCTCTCAGGGCCCCACCTCCCACCCTCCCTCCTGACCCTCCCTGTCCCCCTCTGCTCATCAGACCTGACCCACACCCCTGACATCCTCATCCCTGGGACCCTGGAGTCTGGCCGCCCCAGCAACCTGACCTGCTCTGTGTCCTGGGCCTGTGAGCAGGGGACACCACCCACCTTCTCCTGGGAAGGGACCTCTGTGTCCTCTCTGGGCCCCAACATCATCCACTCCTCGGTGCTCACCCTCACCCCACTGCCCCAGGACCATGGCACCAACCTCACCTGTCAGGTGAAGTTCCCTGCAGCTGGTGTGACCACAGAGAGAACCATCCAGCTCAATGTCACCTGTGAGTAATGGGCCAGGACACCTGGGTCCTTGAGGCTGTGAGGGGCAGGGAAGGAGGCTTGGGTCCCAGGGCTAGGATTACTTTGTGTCCATGTCCTAGGGGCTTGGTTGAGTCAGGGACCTTGTAGGGCAGAGGCCCTGTCCCTGTGTGTGTCTGTGGTTATGGGGTGGGTGTGGGGAGTGCTGTCTTATCTTCAATCCAACGAAAGGGGCAACAAACCACCTTCCTGTCCAGATGCTGCAGAGAACCCTGCAGTCAGTGTCTCCCCAGGGGCTGCCCAGGCAGGGGGGCCTCTCCAGGGCTGTTAGTGCTGTGCTCTCTGAGCCAGGCTGGTTGAGACCTGGCTTCCAGGTGTTGGAATACTGGAGAGGCTGCAGGTCCCCCCAGAAAGCCCCCCTCAGGCCTCCGTCCCCAGGTATCTTCCTATAATTGCCTAAGGACATTTTGGTGACCAGCAATTAGCTCTTTGCATACCTCAAAGAATTTTCAGTTTTATTTTTTTTTTCAATCATTGAATGCCTTGGGGACATTTGAAAAATGGTCTTTAGGTTTTAGAGGAATTGAAGGTTCACTGCAAAATCAAGCGACAGGTGCAGAGATTTCCCAAACACCAGGTGCCCCTGTGTGGCACCACCTCCTGAGTCTGGAGACCTCGTGCTCCAGAGTGGGTCACTTACTACAGTCCACAAACCTACATGGACACGTCACTGTCACCTGGAGTCCTCACTTCTCGGCAGGGCCACCCTTGGAGTCGGACGTTCTGTGGGACTTGACCCCATAACACAGTCACACAGAAGAGCCCTTGAAACATCTCTGGGACTTTCTTGCTTTTCCTGTCAATCCTTCCTCCCTGGCCCTGACCTCTGCCCAGAGATCAGCACCACGGCCTGTTCCCATCGCAATGGCATCTGGTCCCCTTGCTGGACAGTGAGACCCCAGGGCAGGGGTGGTTCCCTCAGGAGTCCTCCTCAACTGCTGACCTCCACTGCCCAGGGACACCCCGACTCCAGGTGTCGAGGTCCCGGGAGGCTGCCCAGGTCTGACCCGAGGCCTGACATGGATTCCCTGCTCCACCTGCTTCTCGTCCCTTCTGCAGGCCCAGGGAGCCCTCTGACCCTGAGTGACAGGGCCAGCGGAGACCAGGACAGGAGACTAGGGAAGAAGGGAGGGATGAGGTCCCTCAGGGTCCTGCACCTTCTCTGTCCCCGTCCCTGTCTCTAATGGAAAGCCCTTGTCCCCCATAGCTTCATGGCCCCACTGTGGCCAGGTCTGGGGTCTGTGGCATGGAGACCCTGGGTGGAGAGAGACTGGGGTCCCAGGTCTGGGCAAGAGCCTGGGGGGACAGGAGGCACAGGGTGAGCTGTGTCCTTCCTCCTAAGGTTGCTGACAGGCTGACGTCTTCTGAGGGGTGGGAAGACTTAGGGGCTGAACCCACGTGGGAGGTGAGGGCCCCGAGTGCTGGAGAGGAGGGGACACGTGCCTGGTTACCAAGACTGGAGGTCACCCAAGTCTCTTCTCTCTGCAGGGAGTCAGGGGACAAACCCAGCAGCAGGAGTGGTCTGGGGGGCCATCGGGGGGGCTGGCGTCATGGCCCTGGTGGCCCTCGGTCTCTGTCTCACCTTCTCCATGTGAGTCTCAGCCTGGGGTCGGGGGTGGAGAGGGAGTGGAGAGGGGGGATCCAGGGTTGGAGGGACCTGGAGGGGTTCTGAGGGCCTGGGACCTAGATGGGGTGCAGTGGTGTTGAGGATCCAGGCTGCAGCCTCTGGGCAAGCCTGTCCCCTCCCAGCCCCAGCCTCAGATGCCCAGGAAGCAGGGTGGAGAGGGGACCTTGTCACAAAGTCCCATGGTGAAGGCCACAGGCCATCAGTGTCCTAAACCTGCCATAGTCACACACTCCAGGCTATGACAGTGACCCCATCGTCTGAGCAAACCAGGCTCAGAGACACCCGTGTCCCTTCAGAGTGAAGTCCCACAGGAGGAAGGCAGCCAGGTTAGCAGAGGACATGAGTGACACCCACCCCGCCCTCCAGCCAGCCTCCATGGTAAGTGCCCTGTGCACCCTGGGATCCAGCCTGTTCCCAGGACATGTCCCCAGGTAGCCATGGTGGTGCCCACTCAGCATGAATAGAACTGAGCTGGTCGCTGTCCCTTGTTTTAGAGTTTAGGTCTCAGTGTTGAGACATGGCAAGGCCAGTCTGCAGGGGACAATGGCCTTGTGTGAAGACACTGTGTGACTCCCAGTTCCAAAGAGGAACAGGCAGGCCACGCCACGTAAGGCCACTCATGGAGCAGGAGGGCTGGTCAGGGGACAGGGTGAGGGAAGACGTGGGCAGGAGCCCATGCTGAGGGCCGGGGCGAGACTGGGCGGGCAGAGGGTAGGACTGGCTGCTCTGTGTCAGCAGAGCCTGGGGTTGGGGTGTCTCTGTTGCCTGGCGCCTTGCCCTAGGTTATTAGGGTACGTGATGGTCGTGCAGAGAGGAAGGGCTCCAGGAGGACGGGTTTGATCTGGGGTCTGGGTACCTGGTCTGCAGGGAAAGGTGCATAGTAGGCGTGTCCTCTGCTGTCCCTGGGGATGGGCTCTGGGAGAGGCAGTGTCTGGGGTGGGCAAGGCCCTGATGTCAGAACCTCAGAAGTGCGTGGCTAACACATCCCTGCACTCCCTTCACTCGCTGGGTTCCCCATCTCTGATGGCACTCCTGTCCCCACAGCCCAACAGAGACCTGGCCCCTCTCCAGCCCAGTCCCCCATCCTTCTCCCTCTGCCCACCTGCCCCAAGGTACTCCTGTTCCTCTGAATTCAGCCTAAGGCAGCCCTCCCCCTGAGCCCAGCTCCCCCCCCCCACCCGACTCCTTCCTGCCTCACACCCTCCCCCAGCCCATCAGCAGGACCTGCACCAACTGTCCTTGTCCCCACCCAAGTTTGAAAAGCACTGCTTCTCCTCACTGCAGAAGAGGAGCCCCTGAGCAGCCTGCCCTGGCATTTGGGGCAGGAAAGGCAGGGTCACGGTCAGCGCTGTGGACCTAGAGCCCAGAACTGGGCCTCAGCAGAGAAGGGCTGGTCTGCAAACCCTCCAGGCAGCTCGGCCCCTCTCCATGGCTGCCCAGGCTCCTGGGCCTCCCACCTGAGCTCCACAGAACAAGAACTCTGTGTCCAGCTGTCCCCTGTCCTCTGCAGTCACCATTGGCCATCACCTGCCTCTTCAGCAATCCGCACTGGTCCCCTCTGACTGACCCACAGGGCTCCCTCTGCACTGCCCCCTCCTGTGCACCCAGTGCTGGGCACAGAGGCCCAGGACCCCAGTGGCGTTTGGGATGGAGGGTGCCTGGGGGAAGCCCCTCGTCTCTGAGTCAGTTCCCGTGTCTGTGAGACGGCAGGACAGGGGTCTCACCCAGGTCTGTGAATGCAGAGCAGGTCTGGGAGCAGAAGGGGACTCCTGTGTTGTGAGGCATCAGGCCACCTGGGGAGGAGGAGGAGGGGCAGGAGGGTCCTGCCAGGGTGGACCCCGCCCAGCCCCTCCAGCTCCCCACCCTGCCCTGGGTGACCCTCTCTCCTGTCCACACAGGGGTGTCGGCAGGAGCCCCCGCTGCCTGGCCCTGCTGACCCCTGCAGCTCCTCAGGAGCTGGCCCTGGCTTGGGGCAGGAGCAGGAGCTGCACTACGCCACCCTCAGCTTTCACGGGGCCTCCCGCAACGTCCACGGGGCAAGTCCTGCAGGGGACACCTCCACCCAGTACTCAGAGATCAGGGCACAGGGAGGGACCAGCAGGAGCCTGTCTCAGCAGAGGACGCCTGCTGTGGAGCCACACTGAGTGACCACGCCCTCCAGTCCTGATGCCCCAGGCTCTGGCCAACCCTGCATTCCTGTGGCCTGGTCAGAGACCCAAGGGGACAGCAAGGAGGGCTTCTGTGTGGGGCATGTCCCCAGGGTGGAGTCACACTCACCTGTTCCCTTGTAGTCCTGCCCCTCTGCCCTTTTATGGAGAGAACTTTCTAAGAACAGAGTCCCCCAATAAAAGATGACTTCCAAATGTTCTCTCTCTCTCCCTCCCTCCCTCTCTCTCTCTCTCATAAAGCTATTGTGAGTTTCTCTTGCTGTCCCCTTTGGGTGAGTTTGAGGCCAAGGACTGGGAAGCCATCCTGAGGCTTGTGTGAAGGTAAATTGTGTTTTATTTTGTGTCCCTGCAAATTCACAGGAGCCATCTTAGTTCAGCTGCTCGTGCTGGTCAGGGGCAGGATCCTACTCTTTGTGGGACCAAGAGGCTGATGACTGACACCGCATAGAGAAGGGGTCCGTAATCAGCCATGAGTGCGTTTCCTGCTGTAATTACATTATCTGAGAATTTGCCACCAGAGACCTGGATCACACCTGTGCTCCCTCCTGATGAACCCTGTGACACAGGCCAGCCACTCTGCCCCTCCGTGTACCAGATTCCAGGTCTGCATTAGTGTAACAGTGACTGTGAGGGCAGCAGAGGTGCTCCCAGCATGCACCTGCAGGAGCCCATGACTGTGCATCCTGGTCCTTCCTGCTGACCTTAGTCCAGAGGCCCCTGAGCACAGACACTGAATCAGCAGCTCAGCCTCCCTCTGCCCACACCCTGCAGGGGGCGCTCTCCCCCTGACCTGCACCACCTCCCTCCACTCCAGCCTCCTTCTCTCCATCCCTCCTCTCTCCTACTCAGCCTTCCCAGCTCCTTTATGTCCTGCCACAGGCAAACTGCAGGCTAGCACTGAGAGAACTTTCTAGAACTCAGGGCTGACCACAGGTGGCTAAAACCTCCGTGCCCTTCAGAATGAGCTCAAAGGCAGATGCTGGGTAGAGGGGTGAAGTAGAGCTCATGACTGTCCTGCTAGAAAGCCCCATTATAATAATGAAAGCTAGTTCAGGACGTACCTGCCCAACATGCACCAAGGAGCACCAAATCATGGCAGGGACAGCATTACCCAGAAATTCATGAGGACCAGTGAACTATGGTGGACTCTGGCCGTGAGGGAAAAGCACCTGTGGCCTGGACGCCACTCCCAGGTCCTCAGCAGGGCGGCTGCTTCAGGCTCCTGTCCAGGCTGGTGGCAGGCGTGACCAGCTCGACTTCACTGCCCAGACACTGGGAGGTGGCTGTGAGGCTTCTGGTCCTGAGAAGTTGGCATTGTCCCATGTCCCCTGCTCCTTCCGCCTCAGCACAACTAGGAACCTGTAAATGGTGCAAGACACAGAGGGACTCTGAGAAGTGGGCGAGGCCAGCTGGTCTGGGACCCTGGACTGGAGAGACACACGGAAACAGAGTCTCTTCTACCCCTTCAGCCGCCACCACCCCACAGTGGCAGGTCCCTCAGGAACACGGCCCCCACCCCTGGGCAGCAGCAGAAGGCAGCCACGTGGGCTCCTGGTAGAAGAGGATCCCTCTGATGGCCTCAGGCAGGACCGACATTTCCTGGAAGGGGAGCCAATCAGAGCTGAATCAGTGGTCACAGGTGGTCCCCTCCCCATCAGGCCTGCGCCATGGCGACTGGTATTTCTGACCCTCAGTTTTCTTCTTGGTCAAAGTCATGAGGCTGGTGTGAAGCAAGATGGTAAAGGGGCAGCTCAGGGGCCAGCAGAGGGCCTCATCAAGCCAGGCCCTTCCCTGTGGCCCAGCCAGGGGGGCAGATGACCTTGCCCTCAGGAGGACATTGCCTGAGGGGGACAGGCAGCTGCAGGGGGTGCTCAGCACAACCCACCTCTGATGTCTGGTCCCCCGTGTCTCCACCTGTTCCTCTGCAGCAGGCCTGGCCGTCCCCTCCTGGGCCACACTGGGCTCCTCAGGCTCTGGGCTCAGCCCTCTGCAGAGCCTTGGCAGCTGAGCTGGATCCTGATCCTGTTTCAGCACCACGGTCAGTGGCAGCCCCTCTGCAGGGATGTCCCTGGGCCAGAGTCTCCTGGTGGATGGAGGTCCCTGAGCAGAGCCTTGGCCACACTCCAGTGCAGAGGTGGGTTAGAGAGGGGCCTGGTGACACGCTGTCTGTGAGCTGGTCAGGGGTGTCCAGGACCCTGTGGGGGTGTGTCCAGGCTGGGGCTTCTTGTCCCCGGGGGTGTTAGCTAGGGATTCAGGCTGTCCTGAGGTGAGGGGGGGTTAGCCAGGGACATCCCCAGTGACCAGGTGGGAGTGGCCATGCTGTCTAGGGACAGCATTGGTAAGGAGCAGGAGTCACTCACAGTGGCATTTAGAGCACTCCCAGACCCTGGGAGAATCAGGTTGGCTCTGGTGAGCAGCCTGCTCCCGGCAGCCCACACCCGCAGGGCTTCCCCCCTCTTCGTCTGAATTTATTCCCTCTTCCCCTCAGAGGTTCCCCTCTGTCTTCTCACATTCCTGTCTGGAGAGTCCATCTTGCCAGGTGGCCTCAGGCTCCGCAGGCCGCAGCCCAGTTTCTGCCCAGATGCTTCCTGCAGTTTCCTCTCAGCCCAGGCTGACCTGAGCCCAGAGTCCTGGAGGGGCAGGGAGTCTGGGTGCCACTGAGACCTGGGCACGGGCACCTCCTGCCTGCATCCCCACCTCCCTGTGCCCCTCTCCTCTGGTCCCTGCCTGCGAGGGGGGCCACCTGGGCCAGCTTCCTCCTCACCTGTGGCCTCCCCAGGATCTGCTCCACCTGGAGGCCTGGGGCGCTGTCTCTAAGGCCAAGAGCACAGACCCAGCAGGGACCCCGTGCACAGAGGCACAGCTGGGTTTCCTCACTGCTCCATCCAAGGACGATTTTCCCCAAAGAGGGACACCACCATGACTGTCATACAGGGAAATTAACACATTAGATATTTTACTTCACTCATTACTAATGAGAGATCCAGAAAGGAGAGAAAGAAACACAAGTGTATTGATAGGAATTTGTGAATGAACTAGGAAACCAGCTCACTGTGTGGACACCAAGGGCCTCCAGGAGACAGAAGGCAGGTGCATGTGTGGGAGGAATGGTTTGCCCTTCTCCATCTCTCCCTTAGGGCATGGTCACACAGCACAAAGGCACAGCAGGCTGGGATCAGATCACTGCAGACAGGATGCTCTAAGAGCACAGAGTCATCCCTTGGAGAAGCAATCTCATTTTGCATTTCTGTATTTCCTTACCATTTGTGAAGTAACTAGTGAGCACCTCACATATGCCACACATTTTTCTAAGAAGGATTCAGCAGTAAGCAGAAGAGATACAAAATCATCATTAGGTACACAACTTAATACTGAGAAATACAGGTAAATAATAACTAAGTGTGTTGCATGTTATTCTGGTTGGTGACAAGAAGTTTGGAGTGAAACAAAATAGGATTATTTTTATGGGGAATGAGGGATGGACTGGACTCTTCAATATGTCCCCCATGGACATCATTCCTGAGAAACTAATATTTGCAAAGGCACACACAAAACATGGCAATCATACAAATGCACACACAATCCACAAAAACATACACACAGACCACAGGTATACACACACAGACACAAAGAAATTCCATATGCACATACAGAGAGTGAACATATCACATGCATCCACATGCACAAATTCAAACACACATTCACACATATAAACAGGCACATCTCAAAATTCACACATATTCCTCATGCAGACACACACATGCACTAAGAGATGAGATGCATACACACCTCAGACACATCACAGCTCAAACACGCAAAAATCCACATGCACACCTCAGACATGTGCACAAAGACCATGGACACACATGCAGACACACAGGCAGGACACATATACACTCCAGATGCTGACGTGCACACCACATATGCACACACACACCTACCTCAGACACAAACAGAGGCCACAGATACCAACACAAACACACCACAATGCACAAACCCTGGCCATGGACACAGGCAGGACCTGCTCATGCTACAGCACACACAGCAGGGCAGCAGCCACCCTGTGTCCTGAGGGTCCTTCACTCTGCCCTGGGACACTGGAGCTCTGGCCCTCAGGCCAGCCAGACCCAATGTCCTGGTCGGAGAGAAATGACAGTGTCACAGTGCCTCTGGCCACTGCCTGCCATCTGGATCACTTAGCTCCCAGTGCCCAGCTGCCCTGCTCACTGACGTCACCATTCTCCTCCTGCTGCTGGGATCCAGGGACCCCATGGCCTCGCAACCCTGGTGCTGGCCCAACCTTGAGCACCAGGTGCATCCACGCTCAGAGTGACCAGTGCAGGATGGACAGGGCCAGGCAGCTTTCTCAGGAATGCAGGAAGGGACCAGCCAGGCCAGGGGAGAGGGGAACTGGCCCCCCTACAGGTGTGCGGAGTAGAGAGGCAGGAGGCTAAGAGGGGGGTCCTGGGTCCCAGGCCAGCAGGGAGCCCAGGAGCACTGGGAAGTGGATCTGTCCCTGGAGCCCCTGTCCTAGCCCTGCCTGAGGGTCCCATGAAGGTGTGGTGGTCTCACAGGATGTTCTGAGAGCCTCTCAGGGTGTCTGGAAAGTTCTTCTCATCTCCTAGTCCACCCCAGCCCCAGAGGAACAACCCTTTGGAGAGTGTCCCTTCTCCTGCCAGGTCTCCAGGCTCCTGGAGGGGACCAGTGTGCTGATGAAGGGGCTGAACAGGAGGGAACCAGAGTGTCACACGTGGGACAGCTTTGAGGGCTGTTGGCTGCAGAGCTCACCTGGTGGCTCAGTCACCACCCATGTCCCCAGAGAGCAGGAGGAGGATGAGGATGAGGAGATGGCGATGAAGGAAGAGGTTGAGACTTGGGTTTCCCGAGACCCCAGAGCATACTGGATAAGAACATGACTGAGGCAGAAGGGACAAGGGGTGGAGTGGGACAGCAGACAACCCCTGACACCCTGTGGGCGCCTGTCCCAAAGTGAGAGCTTCTAGGGAAACAGATGAGCCACAGTGAAACCCATTACCTGCCCTACCCATGGGACAGGCACAGGGCTGGGGACTGGTGACCTAGAGTGGGACTACCTTAGTAAGAGGACAGTGGAACCTAATGGTGTATCGGCCTGGCAGACTGGGGGTGACCACATGAACCCATCCTCAAGGGGACGAGCTTTCCACCCTTCAGGACAGTGACTAGGTCATTAGCACACACTGGCTGCCTTGTGACTGGTGACCCACTGGCTGTCTTCTGCAACTCCAGGTGACTGAGAGGGACATGCTGAAAAGGGACCATTGACCAGTAAATGGATGGGCTCTGAGCTAATTGACCAGGAGTCTGCGCTCTTGGGGTCCGACCTTCAGGAGCTGGTCATGCACATCTGAGAGCCCCGCAGGGCGGTGGTGAGGGTTTTGGACGCAGGGTTTTGACGGCCAGTGGCTGCCTGGCTGGCTACAGTGGCCCATTAGGGAGCAGCGCGGCCTCCTGCAGCCCAGTTTGCGGGACCCCACGCAGATCCCACCGCCACTCCAGGGGGCCAGTCAGCGTCCTTCTGCAGTGCAGGGCACGGGGTGGAGGGCTTCACTGCAGCCCTGGGCCACCCTGGACCTCACAGGGACCGCCCACCCCGCAGCCAATCAGCGGCTCCAAAAGCTTACTCCACTTCCAGCCAGTGGGACAGATGGCTCCAGGTGCCACATGGAGCAGCCACCAGAGCCAATCAGGAGCTGAACCTGCAAGCCCCTCCTCTCTGTGTGGCCAGTGGGTGGAGCCAACCTGTGGTGTGGGCGGAGTCATGGAGTTTGGTGTTCCCTTCTCAGCCAGGCCCTCCTCGACCACACTCAGGAAACCACACCCCACCTCCAACCCATCCCTCAGTTCCCCTGATTGACCCCATTTCACTGTAGGCTCAGCCTACACCCCTGAGGCAGAGGCATCCAGCTGCACAGAGAGGCCACGCGCCTTCCCGAGGCAGCACAAGCCTCTCCCCCAGGCCTGAGAACGCCCCGCTCCCCAGGGTCACCTCACACCAGGGCCCCACGACCACGGCTCCTACCGCACCTTTCCTGTGACCTCCCTGGAGCGGAGGTGATGGTGGAGAGAGCTGTCAGGCTAAATGTGTCCTGTGAGGGCCAGGTCAGGGTGCCCAGGTCCCTAAAAGCCAGGACTGAGGAGGAAGGGGGAGCATCACAGAACCCATGGCCTTCCCCTTCCTAAATCTCTGGGGACAGGTATCCACAGCCACCTTCCTGTTACTTGAGAAGAACAATCCTGTCTCCACAGAACCCGGCCATGTGAGATGGCACAGGTGGGCACAGCCACCCTCCCCGGGGTGGGATGGAGGGGGGACTGTTTCAGCTTCAGACAAGACCTGGGTTTCACAGCTCAGGAGGAGGTCAGACCAGGTGCAGGACCAGCAAAGGCAGGAACCCACCCACTGTCACCTTACAAACTCCATCCTCCTCCTGTCCCCAAGGGATCCCAAAGACACTTCCCCTCTCACCTGTCCCAGGGCTACATTTTTTTTAAGTTTGGTGGTTATTTATTCATTAAATTAATAGCCACTTCTACATATTTTACTCATAATGATTCAAAGATGCTCCTTTGCCTTCAAACCATAGTCTTTTTAAAAAAATATTGTTTAATTGTCAATGGACATGTATTTTATTTATTTATTTTTATGTGGTTCTGAGAATGAAACCCAGTGCCTCCCACATGCTAGGGAAGCTCTCTACCACTGAGCCACAACCCCAGCTCCCAGAGCTACATTCTTGTCCCAAACTCTGCCCTCATTCTCCTTAGGGTCCCAACCCAGCCTGCTCCCCTTCAATCTTGCAATGCTATTGTTTTATAATAGTAAGCACACAGTTTGTCTTGGTCTGTTTGAGCTGCTGTAACAAAATACTGTGCACTGGGTGACTTAACAGAAATTTACTTCTCAAGTCCTGTGGGCTAAAAGTCCAGGTTCCAGGTGCTGGCCCATTTGTTTCCTGGTGAGGGTTTTCCCCCTGGATTTTAGATGACCATCTTATCCTCTTCCTGTCTCACACTGTGGAGAAAGAGGAACCAAACTCTTTGGTGTTTGGAGGATGGCCTGAGGCCTGAGCCTAAGCAACTCCATTTAAAACTCCAGTTTGAAACCTGCAGTGTCAGTGGTCACCTAAGGGGACCTCCAGTGTGTCCTCAGAGAAGTCACCTCCCCTCACCCTGATAACAGAGTGCAGCCCTGGCAGGCTGTCCTGGCCTGATAAGAGGGAAAGAGAAGAAGATCAGGGTGGAGACCAGCAGACCAGATGTTTCTGACCCCAGGGTAAATGACGTCATGGAGAAACCCAGGGGTAGATGATAAGGGTTGAAATGGTGGTCAAAAGCTCCAAATTTAGTATGAATAATAGAGCTAATGAACAGGGATTCAGCCAGCGGAAACAAGGATGCACTCAGCTGGAGGGCCTGACGAGGACCTGGACTGACGTCCCATCACTTGTCATCATTTCCTGATCCTCTGTGTGATCCTCACTGCCCTCAAACTCTACCAGCTCATCTGGACACTGGTGAGAGTTGCAACTTCTCCCTGTAACCCTCTCCTGGACTGGTCGTCCACTCCACGCCAGAAGCCTGCCTTGGGTCAGGAACTGGTCACTGTGGTCTGAGTGAGTGGGCATCTGCTGGACGGAAAGCCTAAGGCTTGAGACTTTGGAACTTAGCACCCAGAGGGGATGCCTGTCCTGAGCCTGATGATTAAGTGTGTTTGCAGTGCCTAGAATTAATTATCTAGAATTGTTTGCTGTGAATTGACTATGTCTATTGCAGTGCCTGGCATTAAGGATTGACCTTTTCTTGGTTAAGAACCTACAGAGTGAAATTGTATTGAGTGATTTGAGGGATTAGAGCTATCAAAAGGGCAGAAGTGTGTGCACATTCTTTATTTCTCCCCTCGACCGCATACATCGCACCTATGCCCCCTGGTGACAGTGTTTCCTCTTACTAGTCCTATGTGAGGGCTCCACTCCCAAGACCTCAGTGACACCAGTCACCTCCCAAAGGCCTGTCTCCAAATACCACTGTATGGGGGTTAGGGCTCCAATACATGGATTTTAGGAAAACAGAATTCAACATGCAGTAAAATTGAGTAAGAATAAGGTAATCCTCACATCTTGTGTCTCTCCCTGCTTGACTATCCTTTCATAGGGAACCTCTGTGTGTACATTCAAGTACACACACACACACACACATGCACACTTTCTATGCACGCTGCCTTGTATCTTATTTTTATTTCATTTTATTTTTCTGCAGGGAGG